TTTTGAGCTCAGACAGCCATCCACTGTTGTGTTCGTGTCCGTGATGAGGCGGACCGAGAACAAAGTGAACGACGCCACGGCGAGACCGGCTCGGGACTGTCACGTTCCATTTGGTCGTGACGACGTGATGGCGTGGATGGACGGCCGGCCGGCCACGAGAGGCGGTGGGTTTCACTGTAGCGTGAAATGGCCGGGCGCGCCTGCAGCCGGGGTCATGCAGCTGTTCTGTTGGATCACAATGAAACCACGAGCAATCGGACGGATAAAACATCGCGCTGAGGCCAGCTGTGCAGACACAGCAGCCCACATAACCCACCGGTTCGGGCGATTCAATGACTGGATGTATCGGTGTTCCGACAGCAAACGGAAAATATGGGGCTGACATAACTGGATGTTTGATGAAGCGTTTGATTATATGGAGGACTGGGGTACAGAGTCCGGGGCCCGTAACTGCCATCAGCCCTGCCCACTGGTTCAATGATACTCTGGAATAGGGAATAGCACTCACTCCATCGACCCGTTCCTTCTATGTCCTTACTCATGACACAGAGTCGCTTCGAGATGCACCGTCTCCAGAGAAATCAACTGAGTACATAAAGGAGAGCATTTAGTGGTAGATGAACATCTACCATGAGACCCATATAGGCCGAAATCAATAGCTCAATAGCTGGCTCTATTATCCATGTCTATGAATACGTAATAGGGGTGCGGATAATACATTTACTGTTCGGTATTTCGCCTCTCGGCGCTGAGCCATATACTGCTGTCTATTGGGAGAGGCGTCCAATGCGACTGTCACTGGTCATAGTGACTGGCGCCAAAAGGAGTCAGCAAGTCCTTTTCTTTACAGTCCTCTTTTTCTTATTTGCTCGGTGTACGATTATCGTTCTAAAACATAACCAGGCGTGGGCAGATGAGCATAACGAATATTGGATATTGGATAAAAGTAGTTGCATGCAGAGCCAGACAGACACATTCATCAACACTGGTTACCAATTATTCATCATTCCCCATTGGTAATATCAAGATATTGCACTGGCACCAAACATTACGGCATCTCTCTACGGCTGCGCGCCAGACCATTTATTTTCCTCCATTTTCATCATCAGCACTCGACCTGGATTATCACTGACCATCTGTGCAGCATCTACCTTCCGCGGCAGCCTCTCCCCGCTTCCTTCTGTCTCTGGGGACGACACGGCTGCCCACTCTACTTACAGGGCTAGTCGCGGAGAACGGTCCCAGAGGGGTTGCATCAGTAGCTCCTGTACCGATCCGCACAGCCGGCCGATGGGCAGCGCCGCTTCGCCGTGAACCTGCGGTATGAGTGGCTACGTACTGGAGTCGTAAGTGCAGCCAATGTCGACCAGACATACTCAATGCTGGCGTCGTGGTCACATCGGCGAGGCTTCCGCTACCCGGAATATGCGCGAGGTGCGCCGACCTGTGTGGTATCTGTAACTGAACCCTGGAACTTTATCGTTAAAGCCCACTAGGCTTCAACGCCCCGAACAGCAAAGCCACGAGAAAAGCCACCACGATTGCCTACAAGCAATCAAAACCACATGTGTTTCAGAGGCTTTTGGTGGCGCAAATGAAACTTGGCGCCCAGCTGGGACTCGCTGTGGGGATTCTGACATGCGAGTCACGCGAACGCGACTCGTAAATTTGTTGGAGCCTGTGTTCTATTGGCGCTAAATGGGTGACCGCAATCTTGCAAGTGTCGAGCCGCGAGATTCGGATCACAGCTGAGATGCGATCCGAAGTGGGTCATCGCTGCTCTTGTCCTCTAACAAACCTTTTAGGTAAAACATGACGAACAGAAAAGACAACAGCAGGAAATAGATTGTTCATATTTTTATATGCATTAGGTAATGGTCAAATCATAACGGCGTCAGCTATAATTTGTAGCAATAATCATGCTTTATAGCTGCCGCTGTCAGATCTTCATCAACTTACTTTTTACGTGTGAGGTAGCAAGTTTTTAAAGCCCTATGTGATGTCCTAAAATGTGATACGACGATATCACCGACTCAAGTATTTTCGCCAACACCGCGGGCTAGCAGACGGCCCATAAAACAGCAATGTAACTGGTTTGAGTAGGTATTTTGAGAAAAAGAGCTCCGTAACGCCCAAAGTATCAGCTTCTGAACTACACGAACGGTGATCTCAGCTTTTTAACGGTGTTGGAGCAATATCTATAACTCACTGACCCCATACGAGCTCACAGTTGAAACGATGAAATATCAGTGTCTCTAAATTGCTTCTGAACTGCCTTTCAATGGCCTCCTAGATTGCCTTTCTCACTTCGGATTTCCTCCCGGACCATTATGAAACTGTGAAAGCCTCTAAGCAGCCTCCGTCTGGCTATTTTGCTCTGAGATCAAAATTATTGTTTGCGGATTGAGATAGCACGAAGTTTATGTATATGTAGACGAGTCACAAAGAGACAGCTATCCTGGATGCTGGCTCACTTAGCCCACAATGCACACAGCTCACAGACGCCTGCTGTGTCAGGGAGACACTCGGCAGTTCTGACTGCGGTCTCCCGTCTCCTCTCCACTCTCAGCAGCTCTTTCTCCGACAGTAATCCACCAGTATAACGCCTTTTGGGGCGACTAACGGAGCGAGCGAGAGGGTGAGCCTTGCACGTGCGAAATTTCGAGGGGGTACCTCCAGCTGACTTGTGCACGGCACCCTACTAACCGGTCTCTAGCGATGTGCCAAATTTGAGCACAATCGGCCCAGCCGTTCTCGAGATCTGGAAGCGGCACCCTGCACGTGCGCACGTGCAAAATGGGTCCCAACTGACTTTTGCACGGCACCCTACTAACCGGTCCCTAACCACGTGCCAAATTTGAGCGTCATCGGTCCAGCCGTTCTCGAGATCTGGAATCGACCCCTGCACGTGCGCACGTGCAGCAGCACCCCAATTCTGGCACATGGATATGCATTGCCTAGTGGGTACCTACCTACATGCCAGCTTTCAGCGCAATCGGCCAAGTAGTAACCGAGATATTGCAACAATTACAAAAGTGACACCTCTTCGTTTTGCACGTGGCACGTGCATAAGGGGTCACCCACATGCATCGGAAATAGTCCAATACTTGGTAGAAGGAATGAAGCTACCCTACAAAAATTACCGCGTGTAAATCGGTCAAGTGGTTGCTGAGATATAAGCGTCGCAGAATCGTGACCACGGCCGGCCGCTCATACTCAGAAATTTCCGTTAATCTAAGGAAAGACTACGCTCGCTTCGCTCGCTCCGTAATCAGAAAACAGGACGCTTTTGGCTCACCAGTCCTTTCTTCTCTCCCATGTACTGCCTGATGTGTTCGATAGTTTTGATATTGGACTCCCGCCTTATTGACATGCAAAGCACATTAGAATGTTAATGGCTGTTACTTTTTGACAGATAGTATAGCGCATTAGTTTTAGCAACAGGCGGCAAAGTAACTAAATATTTTGCAAAGAAAATGTCGGCATGTAAATTGGACCTCGTCGCAAGATGGTGACTGGTGTCATCACTCCCAGTAACTTTGAAGGATCCTACAGTTCCGGGCACAACAGGTTATGTGTCGACGCATCGACGGAACTTTGAAGAAACTTTGCCGGACGTCTCAACATCGTCTGGGATTGACAGAGTTTGAAGCAGCGAGATGAAAGTCCAACAACTAACAGAACGGAAGGGAAAACACCAATTACGCCCTACGATGCTTCCTCCTGTTGCCTAGCTTAATAGAAGTGTTGAACTTTTTGGAAAAGCATCTTCTGTCGATTGACATTGCTAAAATGTTGTTAAAGGCATGTCGTCTACTAAAAGAGGCATGTCGTAAATGTCATATACTGATGTCATAAATGTCATACACTATGACATTTTCATGCACTAAATGTTTGAAGTCATACACTAGCCTTGTCATTCCGGAGGTGACGCGTACTATGTCCGCCCTAATGGTGACCCCGACCTTACCGACGATAGCGCTACGGCACCCAGAGTTAGGTTAGGGCACTCGTCAACGGATACGGTTAATTTCCGCTGCCGCTCTGGCTGCCACGTCTAAAACGCGGCGGTCTGACGTGCAATCACGTCTGATGCGCTGCGCTGCACGCTGCTCTGTTTACCAGGACCGCCCGTAAGCCTGACGGAGAGGTGTCTGAATATCTGCCATCGTCCGCGGCCATCTAATGCGCTATTCAATCTACCAAGTACCAGCGTCTGCTCTAACTAGAGAGTTGAAAAGCTCAGTGTTGGTCTTCTCAGAAGGTAAATATGTAAATGTGTATGTCTGGATTTTTACTCGAGGTTTACTGATGCAAGTCCTGGAGCCTCATCAGGGACTTGATCCCCACGTGAGAGCTGACCGAGTGCCTGATGATAATTACGGAACGATAATATCCGGGATGTTGTGAAGCGCCCACGCCATTGATTCCACACCAGCGCGCACCGCAGCAATTAAGCCAGAAAATGAGATGTTCGGCGCGGCAGTTAGTTTGAAGTCGCTCGGCAGAGCAGGCCACTCAGAGATTCGCCGCTAGATAAGCCAATCTGCTGAGGAGCAGCCCGGCCGACTGATCGAAGACCAATTGGCTGCCTTCCGAATTCGTGGTAAATAAATATCACCTTCAGATTCGGGTCTGACAGAAATGTTTTCTTTGCGCTCCTTTACGTCCACAAAGCACACAGGCTCACGCCTGGCTACATCGTTCCAGTTCTTCAGCGCTCTCTACGAGGATCAGTTTTTTTGTGTTCTTTTGTAATATTAATACAGTGGAGCCTCTGAGTTCATGGAGCACCTATCTACTGAAGATGAATCGATTATCATTGATAATCGATTCATCCTATCCTATCTACTGAAGATAATCGATTCATTGATAACTTCATTTACTTGTCATGCATGGCCCATGTAAATTTGACTGATGTATGCTAATATGATTACGGTAAAACGCTCCTCACAAGTGTTGCGTTGCCTTTTCGTTGGGCGGCCGGGTCGGGTACTCACGGTAGAGTGTGAAGGCGCCCTCAGTCTGGCCGACCTCGTTCTTGCTGACGCAGTAGTATTTTCCGTAGTCGTGGTCGCCGATCTCCCGAATGTGCAGCTCCGATATCACCTGCGGCCGAATCACAGTCGGTCAGGCAAAATATGGACTCGGGTGGTATAGATTCCGGTCAGCGCCAGTCAGAGGTTCTCATCACAGAGTCAAAGAAGTTGGGTCAGTTTCCGTCCGGTGTGTTCAATTTGTTCTGTTCTGGTTGTTTTCGGTCGTGACATGTCTAATGGCGCCTCAGTGAAGTCAGCCTAGATAAGTTCGGGTCCAACTATTTGGGTTTGTCACGGAAAACGTACAGCATGCCAGTGAAAAGTTTCAACAGGGCGGCGAAAGTTTTCCGAGTTGCCGGCATTGCCAGTGCTATTTCCCACCCCGGCTGTGCCGTGCTCCCAACACAGGCCTTCATGTTTCCTGAGCTGGGGCAAAACCAAGATTCCTGCATTCGCCAATACAAGAGAGAGAGAGAGAGAGAGAGAGAGAGAGAGAGAGAGAGAGAGAGAGAGAGAGAGAGAGAGAGAGAGAGAGAGAGAGAGAGAGAGAGAGAGAGAGAGAGAGAGAGAGAGAGAGAGAGAGAGAGAGAGAGAGAGAGAGCCTCCCGAACACCGAGCTATTGGGCCGAATTGGAACAGCCAACCCTAATCCCCCGATAACAAGATAACTTAATACGTCACTTGTGATGAGATTGGATGTGTTGTTGGGGAAAAGGATTAGCCGGGTAAAAGCTGGTGTAAAACACAAACGAAATGCTTTGGTGCGCAGCCGAATGTTGTTCTCAGTCAGGTATAGCGTCTGTGAAGAATAACCTAGGGCCAGGATTCAAGCAGCGCAGAAAAAGTAGCCCACGCCAGACAGGGCTGGGGGATTTGTCATTAAACCGAAATCCGGTTCAAACTGTTCAATTGAATTTTCATGAGCTCAGAACTATGCTCTGTGCCTGAAACTTGTCATGTTTGACGTGCATCGTCAATTATAGTACACGGATTACGGAACCTCTGCTGAAAACCATAAATCTGCACATATACTTCACACACAATTCGCAGAAATATTCATAAGGGCTGTCATTCCTCCAGCCAGCCAAGACGCACAGACAGGTGCTATAATGGATTCATAAAGACATCAATTTCACAACTGAATGAGTTGGCGTATAGCAGACTCGCGTCAAAGATCTCAATGGAAGCCTTATTGAAAGTAATGTAACGAGCATCCGCCTCCGCACCTGTTGCTAACAGTATGTATCTTGCGTCGCTTCGCCACTCATATGTTGAGGAAGGAGGACAGATACAGCGTCTGTCATCAACGCCTGCCTTTTCATCATGTATTAGAGAGTTGGTCGATGCACAAAGTGCTATGACTTTTGGCATGCGCTTGAGCCCATTTAAATTAGAATTACTAGTTACCCGTTAACTTTGACTTTACATAATCTGTAATACCTCCGGCATGAACGATGAAGCAATATCATAATCTAATTAACCTAATGTTGAACATCCGAAAATGTTTACCTACGATTCCTTGGGAAAACATTTGGTGATGCTGGCAGACAAGTTAATGACCCACCTCTCGCGGCGAGCCGGGCACCTCGGCCTGTCCGGTGATGTATTTGGTGCTGTTCTCCAGCACCTTGCCGTTGAAGCGCCAGTAGTTGAGCGGCGCAGGAGACGCGTCCACCCGGCACTCGAAGGTGACGGAGTCGCCCCGCTCCTTCACTTGCTGGTTGTTGGTGCACCGGATCAGCGGCGGATCTGCGGAATATTTCAGTTCTCAACAATTGATTTATCCTGCGGTATTCGAAGTTTTTGTGGCTTAGATATTATCAAACACATTACCGCCAGTGATTATACACACATACTGCGCGAGCGCGACCGCCGTACATCCGCTTTTCTAAAGAATAAAGAGACTTCATTATCGCATCTGGTATCAATACTCCTCACTCAAGGCGTCCTCTTTTTAGACCGCTTACGATAGAAGTAGCTCTAAGTTGACGGCCATTACTGGAGCGTATCAAGTAGGTATCGACTTGCGAAATGATGCAATTCCCTCGCCTATGACTGACGTCAGATATTACAAAAATATAAGTAGGGTTGTAGAAAACATAACTAGCAATCGATTAGCCATACCATCCTTACTACACGCATGCACCAATAACACTGCATTGGACCGGCTAGCCAGCCCTCTGGCCGAATCTCCGACATTTGACTCTACTCACACATGACGGTGACTTGGAACACTTTGCTGGCATCCGGAGGGATGCCGTTGTAGGCGATACACCTGTACAGACCACTCTGCTCCCGATGAATACGAATCAACTCCAGATTTCGCTCGTCCATGTTGGTGGCTGTGGTAAAGGCTTCACAGTCAGTTTTAAAGGCAATGTGACAGTAGCTCTGGAAACGTCTTTCAGTCAGCTTCATTCCTTTAGCCAGGCACAGCTCGATTGTCTTCGAAATCGCGGAGGTTCAAATGCGAGTCAGTTCGAGTCATGTCAGGGTGGGATCAATTGAAAGCTGACATGATATAGGGCCGTGATAGTGCGATTATGTCACCGTTGATGGCTCTACTTGGGCCAAGCCCTGCTCATTGGTTTTGGATGGTGATTTGACAAAAGTTTCTTGGATATTAGCGCATTACCCGGTAGCAATGCCGACTGATCATAAATCAAATATGGCACATGAAGTTGATTTATTTCCGTCGAACTCATGCAGCATTGATCCTACAACCAAATTATGCATCCGACGAGCATCTCGCGCCGTTCAGTTCAGCTCATGAAATCAAATCGCAGTATCAGTAACACATTTAGCATACACCAACTGCTCGTCAAAATATCCCACTACGATCAATCAAGAACCGTTCTAGGCTCAGCGGCACGACTACTGTACTGCCCCAGGAGACCTCTTCTCTCTCTACCTCCCTCTCTCCCTCATTCACCCTCTCTCTCCCTCGCTCTTCCTCCCTTCTTCCCTCCCTTCATCTCTCTTCTTAATTCTCTCCCTTCCTCATTTCCCTCGTTACCACACGCTCACTAGCCCTCCCCAGACGCCCAGAACGTACCTTTCCAGGATCCCTTTCGGATGAGACCTCCATCCGGGTTGTCCCAGGTGATGGAGGGTCGAGGCACGCCGGCGGCAGCGCACCGCAGAACCAGGTTGTCTCCCTCGCTCACACGGATCAGCTTCGGGCCGTCGCGAAGATTTGCTGGCGATCGCAGGCGGGCAACGGTGTTAATGAATGAGGTGTGACAGTGCACACAACACGTTTTGCTCTTTTGACATTTTTTGTACACTAGGCTGCTCAGACATTGTCCAGTCAACTTTTCTGACAGTATAGTTGTGATAAACGAGATTTTGGCACTTATATGGGCATGGTTTGACACGTACCTACACATCTTTTTAGTTATGAAGGTCATCAGATAACTTATTCATGGTGAATTCAAATTGCATAATCCAGTTGGAGTCCAGCTGGAGTGATATTCAGGAAGGGACAGCTCAACCAGCATAAACAAAGTCATAATAACACCAGGGTTAGATAGTATTCTTTTCATTTTGGTTTTATATCGAATTGTCATCCCTCTCTCCAACATTTCAACACGGATCAGAGCTCTACCGTCAGCTTTATTTGCTGCCGGTATCAAATCCTGCTGAAATGAGAAAACCAGAGCCCTGTTCGGGTCCGCGCAAAATATTTTGCTGAGTGTGAAGTCACACATGCGATGATGTCAGCCGCCTAGCTCCGCCCATGCTCCGCCCCCTCTCCGCCGGTTCGCAAAGCCGAGGGCCACGCGACACGCGGCGAACCGTGGCGCGGATGGACTGGTGTGTTTCGTTCAGTTACTAAGTGAAATGCGTTCAAATGTGGTTAATAGAAATGTGCCACTGAAAAGAAAGATAATGATACCAAAACAACACCATACCATGGATGATATAACACTGGATTGGTGTCTCGTGGAAATTAACATTGGGATCCGCGACATTGGGATCAGGCCTGCCATCTAGCGAGAGAATTATCGTAAGTTAGGAGCAAGCCGAGTGAACGCCATCTCCCAGCATTATGACACACGTGGGTGTGGTGTGTTAGTTGGCTTGAAGTGCATATTCCCACGAGTTGGAGGTAATCTTACTGGACTTGAGACGATAAAAAATGTCTTAAATGCTTGAAAGCCAAAAATGTCAAGCAGCATTTAGATAATAACGAAAATAAAATGCGTAAGACGGTGTTTATTGAAACGCCCAGTCCCATCGGCTTGGGCGACCTTTTCAATGGTCATTTACTCACAATGGTACAGCAGTTTGGCAATATGTCATACATATTTGGTAGGCTTAGTCCTTCTTCTCCGAATTTCGCTTGACTTTCTTCATCTTAGTTAATTGTTACGGCACGTGCCACGTGCCAACTTAGGGGCGTCGAAATTGTTCCACATAAAGTAACTCCGCAATGGCTAGGCCCATTACAGTTACGCTTCGTCAATAGTTAGGCACACAGTGGCCAATGCATTTCCATGTGTCACTATGAGGGTGCTACTGCACGTGCGCACGTGCGGGGTGCCGCTTCCATATCTCAAGAACGGCTGGGCGGATAACACTCAAACTTGGTACACAAATGTCACATCGATGCTCGCACTGCATTGATCAGTGCTTATAATCATTGGTGCAGAGTCGTTAGGAAACTGATGAAATAAGATGCGTGGTGTTTATGCCTTTCTGTTCCAGCAGCTGATTGATCCGCAACAGGAGATCCTTGTTTGTGAAGGCTTCGTCTCCCTTTTCCATCCCTTGTTTAAAATAACCTTAACAATGTACGAAGAAGATCACGCATCAAAGTTGTTTTAGGCGGCTATCTTGGGCCAGGGCTGCGGAGTTGTAGTCAGAGCCAGCAGTTCTGTTCCGACTCGGAGTCGGTTGATTTTCAAAAGCTGTAGTCGGAGTATGAGTCGAACGTCACCGAAAAGTCATCGACTCCACAGACTTACCAGGGCTGCAGAGTCGAGTCAGAGTCGGAGTCTGTGTGAATCGACAGTTCTGCCCGGAGGAGTCGGAGTCGATATTTGGATACCGGAATCGGAGTTGGAGCCAAAGTCACTGAAATTTCATCGACTACGCAGCACTGGTTGGGTCTTTTTCATAGAGCGTCTTGAATGACATATTGAGCGGCAATGACGTTAGCAATTCCGTTCAACCTTTTCATTAGACTTATAGATAGTACTTAACGTTCGTTTTGTTCTTTGATCGAACAATTTGTTTGATTTAGGCCAAGTAAAACTCATGTGAAAAATAGCGAAAACGACACGTGCTGGCGAAGTCTCCAATAACTCCCTGTTTCACGATTTAATGAGGAAATAACATGGAACTGCTTATCTTATTACTGACCCTGCACATAAATCTATTAATTTCTTCGCTTTTACTGGCATATAAAGACATAACCTTTTGAAAAATTGCACAACAAGCCCGCTACCACACCACACTCCCATGTGTCACAATTTGGTCACAATGCTAATCAGCGGCGTTCACTCGGCTTGCTCCTAACTTACGATAATTCTCCCGCTAGATGGCAGGCCTGAGCTCAATGTCGCCAAAAACTGCCAAGACACCAATCCATTATTATCTCATCCATGACCATACTAACCACTTACAATAAGAAATATATGAGGGTAAACTTTAATCCGCGCCACTTTCGCCTCCTGCAGCTACTATTTTCTTCTTGCGCAAAACTGAAAGATTTTGCGCGAGCCTACGTCACACGTGTGACGTCATACGCCGAAGGGCGGAGTTTGGCACCCGAGAGACCCCAACTGCGCATGCGTGGTGCAAAATTTTACAATAGGATGCGCTGCCCGAACAGGGCTCTGGCCAAACATCGTGTGTTGTCCCCCCAGCACCCTCATTCTGGCTGAAGCCATTACACTGCTTTTGACAGAGGAAATCCTTGATGGAGATTGCAGATCGTGCAATGCTCCTTCGAAGCTGCGAACATTTGCATAAAATGGGCAAAGTAAGGATCCGGGATTACGTGGCAAGCTGCAGCAGAAGCTTTTCTCAGAAGGCTTTGAATTTTCAGCCGCGCTTAACGCGGGTCTTCGCATATGGTTGAAGGCCGCACGAGGAGATGAAACGAGAGATATTCTCAATCATCAGGACTGTGAGCACGACCGCATGTGAGACGGTGAGTGGTTAAGGGAGGGATTGAGCAGAGCCTTGTGAGTTTGAAAAAGGGTGAAGTCGAGTGGCCAGTCGAGTACTGACGTCTGGCGATCCAGGGCGGGATGAGCAGCGTGCCGGCGGTCGTGTTAACCAGCGTCGTGTTGATGCCCGGGATGCCGTTCTGACCGTCCTTGCCCGCCTCGCCCTTTCGACCTCGCGGGCCCACCAGACCTGGCCACGGCAACAGGTTAATGAGTGAACAGTAACAGACTTTCAACAACACATTATTGTGGATTTTAGTGAAACGTGGATTTTAGCCTGTTTCGTAACACAAAATGAAAACACAACGAATTTGTTTATAATCGCATGCCCATTAGACATTCTTCATCTCTATGCATTTGTACTGAGCTCTTCCTCGACATTTCTACACCGATGACTCTGAGATCCGGGCGATCTGAAAACCCAAATATCACCACCACCTTCTCTAGCGTCCTACCGGTAAATCAAAATAAATCCACTTTTCGTAATGATACTTACCGACTTCTCCTCGTTCCCCTTTGGGACCTGCATCTCCTTTGGCACCTTTCTCGCCTGAAACAGAAGAAACCGAGTGAGTGCCGCTTCGCTGTCGAACCGTAATGGCGTAGGAATCCGTAGGGACGCATCCGTCCTAATCTAGACACTGAAGGCTCCATTCGTTTTCATTCACTGACGCGTTTCGGAAATCGACAATGCTGAATCGAATGTAATAACGAGAAGTCTTTTGCTCATTATTTATCCATTTATTGCACATCATCGATAATATTCGTGACTCTTGTATGTATATACATACCTATACATCTGTACCTATGTATCTATTTATTCTAGAATGTGAGTCAAGTAGGTATAATTTCGAGTTAGATCGCAAAAATGATAATGTGAAGAACTCTTGATCAGGGATTTGGCAATCACCTTTTTCGAAAAGGGAAGGTCACTCAGCTATCTCACAAAAGCGTGGATACTACGATTTCTCCTCCTCGCACCGAGCTTTAACTTCCCAAATCAGTGATGTCACTCGGCCTGAATTCGCCAAAAGCGCTGTGCTGACAGGTTTATTTGAGGCTCGACTATCACTGGAGAGGCCCTTACTCCAGCCGCCGAGTGTATCTGTGACACTCCGGATGGAGCTGTCAAGAGCGGCGCCAGCAGACCCACAGCCGCCGGCCAGAAAGTGGTCCCGTGACGACAACTGTCACAAATGTGACGGCCGTGTAATGGTCGTGACGACCGCAGCGGTGGCAACTACATATAGCTGTCGCGATGTCAAGTGTTACGGTGATAGCTCTCGCAATGTCAACTGTCATGCCGCTATGTGCTATCGCGGACACCATACTGAGAAGTAAGCTATCCATAAATTTTAAAACTGAGTGACGGAATTTAACTCTTAAGCTCAGTGGTGATTCTTCGATAACTGGTTGCATGAGCCGCCGAATCGCACGTTTGTGAGGTTCTGGTGGATGCCTTATCCTTACTTATATTTCCCAAGATTACATAAGTATGAAACTTGATAGAATAAAGCTGCATTCATTTATGATAGGAATCTATCACAATCCGACTCCACATCATGACGGTCTCACTGACCATCGTTGCCGTCCCGGCCGGGCAGTCCGTTGATTCCAGGCGTTCCGTCCTGTCCTGGAATTCCGTCCACTCCAGGGAATCCGTCCAGGCCGTTCCTGCCAGGGATACCGTCCATGCCGGGCTCTCCAGGCAGGCCGTCGCGACCCTCCAGGCCGTCTCTGCCTGTAAGAAGCCGTCACAAGCTGCGTCATCACATCATGTACCATTTATGTTTTAGTCGCTTAGTCTTATAAGTTATAAAGTGGTGTATGCAGTAATGCGCAACAAATAATAATCGATCACGTCGCCCTCCAAATGGTGAGTGTACTGATAGGTTTAATTTATTGCAGACCCTTTTGTGACCAACCAAGGCAAATCTGCCACCTATTACATGCGGATTAACCCTCGCCCGTATTGGTGTTTTTCCAGCCGCGAACGTATAAGGGGGGGGGGGGGGTCCGTTGGACCCCCTCCCGTTGCCGTTTCGCCCCTGATCGAGCTAGAGCTTCGCGGAAAAAAACGAGCGTGTTGCCCGTGACGAGAGGAAACCGATGATACCCAATTTTAAGGTCCTAGGTCATTGGTTGACCTTAGAGGTCAGGTCAATGACCCAAAAGTCGGGAAAATCGGGACCTGTTAGAACGTCGTGAAGTGTGGCTGCTATAAGGTTTTTCAGGGTGCTGATCACGAATATCATGTTAGTTTTGATCACAGATGATGTCTTCAGGCATTTAGTCCAGGTCGGGTCAGGTCAGGTCGGGTCAACCAGCAGGGGTCCTGCCGGGTATTCCTAGTAGGTGTCAACCGCCTCTGACAGCTTCGTAACATGTTACGAAGGCACCAAAACTACTTCGTAAATGTTCATATGGTTGCTAAATTCGAATTCAGCTCCAAAAACTGGCCTAGAATCATGTAAAACTCGAAAAAGTGAACCGAGGTCATCAAAGGTCAATGACCTGACCTGACCTTCAGGTGACCTTGACACCCACCCTAATGCATGGGGGCAACATCATATAACATGTTTGAACACTTGAAACCACGAAAAGACTGCAAACGCGCGGCTAATGCGAGCCGACATACGCCGAATCGCGATTCCGGCCAAACATGGTCTCGAAAAGTAGGTCACAGGTCTAAGGTCATTTGGGTCAGGGTCATGAAATTTTAAGGGCAGGTGTAAAATTAACGCGAGGGTACTGAAAGTTTCGTCGCGACCAGCCGCTTTTTACGCGAGTTATTTGCGAAAAACCATGGGGGGGGGGGGTCCGTTCGACCCCCCCTATACGGGCGAGGGTTAACAACGCCGAGTCGCCTCGAGCCAAAATGCCTGTGTGGTAGGCTGTACCGCAATGCACCCGCGCCCGGCGGAACACTGCCGCTGCGGTCGGCAGGCGGCAGCGGAGCGGACGCGGCAGGCGCTACACCGAACCTAACCCGGCCGCTTATCACTGCCGAGAATACGCGTCGCGTTTATCATGCAAATGGTGGTAATCATTTTCGCTGGCCCCCCCGTTGACCCGGATGGGAGGGCAGCTTAGGACCTCTGTGTAGTGGGATTTCACAAAGATTACAGATCTAAGCCTTGCTTTTATATTTCAACCACATGGTGTGGCGCCTTCCATTTACACGGATAGCTGTAGGTATTATGAAAGGGACAGCGTTTATCATCGTTGCTGAAAAGCAGCCTATCTGTTTTTAGCTATATAGGTTAGTACATATATGCCGCAACTCTAAAAACCTACGTTGACTGACGACCGTTAAGGTGTGTCTAAGGTGGCAACACCTTTAGTTGATGCTCCGGGCCTCACCTTTTTGTCCCTTGTTGCCGGTGTAGCCGCGAACTCCCTTCAGCCCCGGTGGGCCGATAGGACCGGGCTCACCCTTCACTCCGGGCAGGCCTGGAAGACCGATCTCGCCTGCAAAAATGAATGACAGTTGAGAAACCCATGATAAGCAGCATGTGAAATGCTAAGGGAAAATAGTAGAGTTCACTATAGTATGGTGCATTCCAGTACAGCAATGAGTGAGACAAGTAAAAGCAAACATTCATATATTTTGTTAAAACATGTGTTCACAAATATTAGATATTGAAAAATGATTAAGTTATTCTGCAACGACTTTGCCTCGCACAGCTCCTAAAAATATATTATACCTAATAATAAATAGCGTTAACCATGCACGTAATCACGTACAGGCTTCCTTTCTTCTCTAGCCTGATTGACCCGGTTAAATGACGCATTCAGTGAGAGCGGAGTGGTGCATTTACGACGGCTCAGTGGCCTCACCTTATATAGCCTTGGCCTCACCTTTGGGCCCTCTCGGGCCTGGTTCACCAATTTCACCCATTGCGCCCTTCTCTCCAGGCTTGCAGAACCTCTGGGTACTCAAGCAGAACTTCCTCAGATCATCCGCCTGAGGAACATAGGAGAAGGCCGTCATCATATACACGCCTTGGGGTGTCTGTTAAGTTAGCGTCAGCAACAGCAAAGAATACGGCGTTGGGATGGACTATAGTCGGGAAATTCGCTGCAGGCAGACACATTCATTTCCTGCAGTTTCATTTAGATGAACAGTGCCTCGGCACCATGCAGGCAGTAACAGAATTATGACCGTCCCACTTCCTTTAGATATGACTGATGAATGACATAGTGCGATTCACAAGCGCCGCTTAATTGCAGCAGCGAGGCAGCACGGAATCAATGGAAACCGAGTGAACTTAATGTCACGACAGTGAGTGGCGCACTGGTATTCACAGTCCTTTGTTTATGTGTGCATGTCGTCCAGTGTACATAGAGATCCAAAACTGTTTTGAGCGCCACTTAGTACGCTTTATCCTCTATATAGGTATCTAATGCACAGCAAAAAAGAAATAAACATAGAAAATTGACATTCTGCTTGAGTACCTAAATGATCTCTGCCTAGGGAAAATGAAGTATGCCTGGGGAGAGGATTGCATCTTATAAACCGCTGCTCCAGCTGTTAAAGCTGGTTAGCCTTATAATCTGTTCAAGCCGGCGATATCGTCACAACAGCTGCTTAAACTTATAAGGAAGCGTATTGTGGACAGACCACGCAACAACATTGCTCGCACCAACTGGTCACTGGTCACTTGGTCGGCGAACTAACAGGCCAGCCAGCGGACAGGCCTCTCACAGCGATGCAATGTTGGATTCGAGCGAAGAGCTTTTGCTTGTTCACTTGCTGGCAGTGGACATTTGAAGCTGTCACTTTCAGCGTGTTGTTTACTTTGATTGTCGATTTCCGACATCCGACATTTTTCTGATATTTTATGCTCCTCGTGCCGTATTCCCTTTGCCGGTTACCTTAGATATTGGCATTGGGTATCCATCCTAAATTTGAGGATCTCTGCTGCAAACAAATGAACAGTGAACACCACTGAGGAAAATTTATGACGGTGCTTTTTATCCCGAGGTCATGCCACGGTTAGTCGTCCCATAATGCCCGTTATGTAAAACGTATGCCGTATAATCCGTAGTTCATTAATATGTATTTGCGGTTAGTTGATAAAGTATACGTTCCATGGCTCTATTGTTGCCTTGCTGGTTTCAGCGGGGCATCCGGCAGCAGATTTCGGTCCGGCGCCAATCTTTTAGCGCCGATGTCAGTAGCGGTCACATTCCATTCAGCCATGGGACAAAGACCGCTACAGTATGGGCTACAGAAGACTGTCACCGCCTTATGGAACAATAGAGCCGTTATGGAAGACTTGGCGACCGTCCTTTGGGAGCGAGGGAGCGAGGGAGCATCCTTTGTACTTAACGCCCTAATATCGGCAGTCTGAGAATATTGCAAAGGTCTGGTGTAAATAAATTCGCTAAATAACATACAATGAATTTAATTAGAGCTTGCAAAAATACAATGGTATCTGGAAAACCATAATCAAGCTTGTATTATTTAACCATCGTGCTGAGCATTTGCACATCATGGTGGTTGTCATTCGACACAGATCGACCAGCAGGGGGTATAGTGGTTGGCCGACATATGATAGCTGGTTCGTACACAGTGTGAGGGTTTTACGACGAGTCCTGTCCGACCCATCTGACACCGCACTCTGCTGCACACCGAACCCATGACGGTCGGACGTGCAACCAGCTGCAAATGCAAGGACATACAACAGTGGCGGCGCCACGAATTTTCGCCAGTGGGGGCAAGCTTGAGGTGACTCTACTGTTGTATGACACCCCGATCTGCAGAATTCAGGAGCACCTTGCCCCTAGCAGTTGACATCCAAAATTGTCCAGATGAAGGAAAAGTTATGGCAAATAAAGGCATTTCTTTGCCATCATCACATCCAGAGGTGGAACTTTTTGTTTTTCATTGGGGTTGTAGTTTGCCGGAGCCCAGGGTATACCCCCACCAAAACCCGAAAAGTCCCCGGATTCGGCCCACTATTTTTCGGGAGGGGCCCACATTTTCATTTACAAAAAAAAAATAAAAAAAATAAAAGTGGTCCATCTCCAGGGAGAGACGGCTGACCCTGTAGTCCCTCCATTGGCTATGTGCCTGGTTGTAGGCACTCGGGTATCGCCAGTCGCCACCATGGTCGTGGCCATAGGCGGCGGAACGGGGAGGGCACCGGGGAACCGTGCCCCCTTTGATTTTGGTATTTTAACATTAGCCCTATGGGCGTTGCATGGAAAGAATGGGATCAAAAGTCGACAGTGCCCCCCTTAATTGAGGGTGTTCCGCCGCTAGGTACTGGTCGTGGCGATTCGGAAACGGTAGGTAAACGCCCAAAATCACAGTCCCTATGAATACTTGTTTCTTTCCACATTTGACACAAACATTACTCAGTATTGGAGCAGGGCTCTTTCCCTACGAGTAACAATTTAAGCCACTCGTGGCAATTGACAACGAAGACCTAAACAGAAATACGTTATTTTTAGACTAAAAAACTTAAAACGAGTCCATCTTTGTATATTAACCCGCGCGGGGCTGGGGGGGGGGGTAAATTTTACCCCCCCTCGCGAATTTTTGCAATATCTCAAAAACGGCGGCGCGCAGCGCCGCCAAACTTTGAGTACCTTTTCTTACATCAATTTGACACGTTCCCTGAAAATTTGAGCGAAATCCGTCGGAAAATTTTTGAGAAATTGACGTTTTAGTGACGTCATGTTCGCCATTTTCGCCTCAAAAACGGCAAAAGTTCAAACGCCGCTAACATCTTCATTTTTAAAGGAATCAAGACGTAACAAAAAAGGATATACGTAATTCTACTTTGTCTATCAAATGGCTATCTCCGTTTTTTAAAAATTTTGGATTTTGGCCTAAATTTTTTTTCAAAAAACTAACTTTTTTGGGAAAATAGTTATAAAATCCAAAATTTTGAGTGTATCAAAAAAACCGGAAAATATGTCAGAGAAGTGGTCTATGTGCACCTACATACCAAGTTTTAGAAGAATCGGTTCAAAAATGTGGGAGTTATTCAAAATTTTATGACGTCACGACACACAAAAATTTTGAAAAATGACTTTTTTGGAAGTTCTAGACCTCGTACGGAAACAAAAATAGCACCATTCGATTCGCCGTGAAAAACTGCATCAGATAGACACCCTTTGAGGCCTTAACAACCAACTTCAAAATTTGACCTCACTTGACCTGACCTTGACCTGACCTCGACCTAAAATTCATCCAGAGGTGGTCCATATCACTTATTGAGTGTGCCTATTGAATTATATGAGTAAAATAACCCATAAAACATGTGTCGCACATGCCCTTTTCTATATTTTGTTTTTGGTGACCTGACCTGACCTGACCTGACCTTGACCTCTGAATGATATTGTATGCAACGAGTATTGTCTTGGTAGCCTAAGAACACGTTTTGGGCGATCAGTCTCAGTCCATGACTCCATTCTTCGGCAACTACGGTGCAAGGCCGATACTGTAGGAACTTGCAATTTGTACCCTTGACCTGACCTTGACCTTGACCTCAAACTTAAAATTAAGTACATGTTTTTAGTTGTTCGTGATGAGATCTTTCGATTGGCGTTTGAATTTTTCAAATCGGACCATTAGTTCGGGAGATAACAGGGGGGGTAAAATTTACCCCCCCCCCCCCCCCAGCCCCGCGCGTTCGGCTGGAGACCCCAGCCCCGCGCGGGTTAATGCCACTGTCGTCTGGAATACGTCTATTACGGAAACGGGTAGTATAAACCGGAATAGTGACTGATCAGACATGAGATATTTTGCAAACGAGGACAACATACCGAACACAATGCCGCAAAGGAACATAACACTGGATCTAAGTTATCTCAACCTGAGGAAACTAAATAATAAATGCCACAGCCTTTTCATATCACCGAATACTTCAATTAACTAGATGATCTTCTTTTTTTCAACGAGCAAATGTACTATGCATTGTTTGGCAAATCGTAAACAAAACGCATACTCTTCACAGCCACGATGGCTAGGAACACATAGCGGCTTGTCTGTCTGCCCCTGAGACACTGAACGTACACCGATTTTCAGCTAAATCGAAAGACCCCGCCGTTTACCGTTAAAATGTTAGTTGGCCGTTAATTCGTTAACGGTGCAAAATACCACCCCAAAGAGGTACATTTTCGGAATAAGCGCATCGAGGAGGCCCTGTACACCGATTTTCAGCCAAATCGAAAGACCCCGTCGTTTCCCGTTAAAATGTTAATTGGTCGTTAACTCGTTAACGGTGCAAAATACTACCTCAAAGAAGTACATTTTCGGAATCAGCGCATCAAACAGGCCCTGTATACCAATTTTCAGCTAAATCGAAAGACTCCGCCGTTTCCGGTTAAAATGTTAATTAGCCGTTAACTCGTTAACGGTGCAAAATACTTCCCCAAAGAGGTACATTTTCGGAATCAGCGCATCAAGGAGGCCCTGTATACCGATTTTCAGCTAAATCGAAAGAACCCGCCGTTTCCCATTAAAATGTTAATTGGTCGTTAACTCGGTTACGGTGCAAAATACCACCCCAAAAAGGTACATTTTCGGAATCAGCGCATCGAGGAGGCCCTGTACACCGATTTTCAGCTAAATCGAAAGACCCCGCCGTTTCCTGTTAAAATGTTAATTGGTCATTAACTCGTTAACGGTGCAAAATACCACCCCAAAGAGGCATATTTTCGGAATCAGCGCATCGAGGAGGCCCTGGATACCGATTTTCAGCCAAATCGAAAGACCCCGAAATATGCTGCTGTGAGGCTGATATTCGTTGCTGCTGATTTGACAGACGTCGCCAAAACCTTGCATTTGTATCAAATGCGTCATGCTGGCTTACATGTGACTTAGTTTGCATCGTTTGCATTCTGTTCGCGAACCTGTCAGTAAGATTATCAGCACTAATTCAGTTGGGGAAACTACGAGGAGCCAAACAAAAATTGGATTAGCCAATCAGCGGCTGGAGTGGGCGGGGC